GTCATTAAACGCATTTGCCAAGTGTTGACCGGTTAAGTGAACACCTTTATGAGCAACGTTCCAATGGCGTTTGGTACAAGAGCTTTCTTAACAAACGAACATATATGCTTCCACCTGAAATCCGTGCGACCATTTGCTAAAAAAAAACGAGGAATAGTAACTTTTGTGCCTTTTTTAATTCTTTATTTACGTTGTTTCAATAGGACTTAATGTTCCGAAGAGCGCCCGGATCACGGTTTTTGAGAAATCATTTATATTGCTCACCCTTCTTGCGAATTATTTTGAATGTGGTACAGGTTATTCATGGATTTTGAATGTTTTTAAATCGTTATATATTTATCCGGAGATATATATATATATAATTTAAGAAATTCTAGAAATTTTTATAGGCATCGCTGGAAATACGCTCCAATTTTTAGGTGCAATGCCCATCTAAAGGCATCGATTTCTATATTTTGGGAAATTATGGTTTGGTGTTTTATTATTTTTTACATAAATTATATTGAACAAGCAAAAAAATGAGAGGTGGTCACTCAGGTCGCAAGTGATTACTCTACGTTTCACTCGATCTACGAAAAATATCGTTATAAATAAATCTGAAACTGTTGTTGAGTGCATAGTAATTCAAGTGGAATTGGTGATGGTATTTATACAACTGTTCAAGCCATTAAGGATCTCCATTTCCCTTTTAGGGGCGCTGTCAGAAAAGATATTTATATTAATGTCACCACTGCAAATGACGTTATAGTGACCTTCGTTTATAAAGGACAAAATCAATTAAGAAATTTGAAAAATGTTGCAATGTGACCATATGGTGGGCATTAAACAACAACGAAAGTGTTTTTTTAACCACGATACTTTATCTTCTTGCGCGATAAAAAAGTCACTCCAAAAATTATGCCTTCGTTTATCAAAATAGACAATCCTCCGTCACGCTTTACAGTACTATTTAAAAGATAAGTGCCATAGATGATGGTTCTCGAAATTTTTAGCATGCCGACATGAGTGCCAAACTTCCTTTTTCGATTTGGGCGTACCTCTTCTTTGTTTAGGGTGAGTGTCCTAGACGCATAGGCGACGACGCGATACGATCTATCCAGCTGCTCTTCGAGCAGCATTGCTCCCAGGCCGTAAGATGACGCTTCTGCTGTACAATCGAGCCTTTGTTGGCGGGAACGGGGCAAGTAGAGAGGATTTCATTCCACCTTGTGAAGGTTTTCTGCTGATTATGATACCACAAAAAGTCTACCTTTTGACTGAGAAGTGACGATGACGAATGCAGTAGATCAGAGACGTGTGGCACAAAACGTCCTAGGTATGTCGCCTTTCCCAGGATGCGCTTGTCTTCTTGCTTTTAAGACGGTCTGGGCATCTGTTTCACTGCGCTGACGATTGTCTCGTCTGGACGGACACCATCGCTGTCTACTTGATGACCTCAGAACTTGATACTTGTGACTCGAAAGTCGTATTTATCTTCGTTGAGCGTGAGCCTGCTGATTAGAGTCGCCTGACGACTTCTCGAAGACGTTGCTCGTGCTGCTCGTACGATGGTGCCCACATCAAGACATCGTCCATGTGGCCAAAAACTCCTTCCATTCCTTGAAAAAGTTATGTAATACTTCTCTGAAAAGGTTACGGGGCTGACGTAATTCCGAATGGTAGGCCATTAAAACAAAATCTTCCAAATGGAGTGATAAATCTCGTCTGGAGTCGTGACTTCTAAAGGGATCTGACGGAACTCAAAATTCGCGTCCAGCTTTGAAAAGTATTTGGCTCCCACTAGGCCTCCTAGCGTGCGCTCCACTGAAGAGATGGGGTGATATTCACATTGAAAATGGTTGTTTAGTTTTGTGAATCAACACAAATGCGAATTTTGCCTGACGGTTTAGGAACGATGACCATCGGCGCGCACCATTCACAAGTTTCTTCGACTGGACAGATGACACCCTGGGACTACATGTTTTCTAGATCTTAGTGCGTTTCACAATACAGCAAAAGTGGAACTCTTCTCGGTGATGCGATAGCAAACGTCGTCGCGTTAGGTTTCAGCTTGAGAACGTGAGCATCTTCGAGAGATTCCAGTCCCTGAAACACGTGAGAGAACTCTTTCTTTGGTTCACAAGCTTTGTTCGCAGTCGTGCAGATTTTAAGGCAAAGCCGAAACATTTTAATAGCTGGCTTACCAGGAGAGTTTTACGAAGTCCTATCAAGATATAAACTTCTTCGAGTGCTTGTTGTCCACGGCAGTCGAGCTTCATCCAAGCCAATTCCATAACCTTGAGGGGTCGCCCGTCTGGACCATGAAGTCGGCGTTGGGGCTCGGAGAGCTTGTGCCACTGTGCGAAGAACATTTTGAAAGATGGCAGCTGAAAACATCGTTTTATCTGCTCCGGTTTCTATTCGGAAAACAATAGGAGTTTAAATAAAAACAGAAAGAATAAACATAGGGACGGACAGAACAACACCTCTTTCGATGGTTCGATGATTTGCAGACTGTTGCCACGAAATAGGTGTTGTTCTGTCCTTCCCTATGTTTATTCTTTCTTTTTTTTTATTTAACTTCACCAACGAGCTCGCGTCGAACTAAACAGGAGTTTTGTCGTCAAATATTTCGATGTCCCATTTTGCTCTTTGGGAAGAAGCTGCAGCTCTCACGAATCCTTGTGACTGTGCGAGGGAGTTCACGGTAGTTTAAGATTTCCAGACTGTTGTTAAATGTCCCTATTTCTGACACCTGCTACTGCCTGAGTTCTTCGCCTGATGCACGCTCCTTGGGTGAGCTTCTCAACTACACCTCCGGCAAAGTTTGCCATTTGGTTTGGGTGCCGCGGTCTTCTTAGTAAAAGTTCGAACATTTAAACGTTGAGCTCCTCGCTTAGCAGGACCTGATGCTGTCCCAGTCTTGGCTGCTATGCGGTCAACGATGGCAAACTTTTTTTTTGTCATCCGGAGTTTCACTTGTTGCTTCTTAATCACTTCAGATTGTCGAGCAGCAGCGATGGCCTTGGTCCACATCAGGATCCAGTTGAAGTTTTTCCGAAGTCCTACTGTCCCGAAGACAAACAATCAACCTGTCGCGGATCAATTCTTCCTTCGGTGGTTCATAGTTGCACGTAGTGGCTAGTCCATGCAGACAAGTGACGTACCCCTTGTTGGTTTCCTTCTCCAGTTACAATCTTGTGCTGAACACGCCTCTCTTGTATAGCACATTTTGGCGGGGATGAAGCAACGTTTGTAATAAAATGCTTAGATGGGCCAGTTGGTACATCGTGGGAAAATAAGCGCCAAAAAAAAAACACGGACAAAGAGTAGATTGACAACGACACAGGGCGCACTCTCAACTGAATTTATTAGGAAAAAACACAAACTTATATACCAATGGGAGCACACTATCAGACACCACACGTCACGTTAGTCTCCGCCCAGACCACGTTTCAAATATTCAAACTCATTCGTAGACAGAGCCAATGATGTATCGCTAATGCATTTTTTACCCCTTCTCCTAATCTCAAATGCCTCGTGAAGCTCGCGTGACACTTTGTTTCTGTACCTCGCCAATATTTTAGTGCTGTCAAACCCATCATTTGACAGCACTAAAATATTGGCGAGGTACAGAAATATTTTAGTGCTGTCAAACCCATCATTTGACAGCACTAAAATATTGGCGAGGTACAGAAACAAAGTGTCACGCGAGCTTCACGAGGCATTTGAGATTAGGAGAAGGGGTAAAAAATGCATTAGCGATACATCATTGGCTCTGTCTACGAATGAGTTTGAATATTTGAAACGTGGTCTGGGCGGAGACTAACGTGACGTGTGGTGTCTGATAGTGTGCTCCCATTGGTATATAAGTTTGTGTTTTTTCCTAATAAATTCAGTTGAGAGTGCGCCCTGTGTCGTTGTCAATCTACTCTTTGTCCGTGTTTTTTTGGCGCTTATTTTCCCACAACGTTTGTAGTTTGTCATATAAAGCGCCTCGCGGTCTGGGATGCGTGTGGGGAGAAAAGAAGAAGACGAGTGTGTGCAGGAGCGAGGGATAAACCCGACGGTGTTCTAGTTCCTCTTGTCTTGGCTCTTCTTTATATAGCCCTCGGTAACACGACATGGTGGCAGCGGTGGGATTTGGCAACCCGTAAATATCGTCTCCGAGGAAGCTAGAAGCACCACAGGAGGAGACCTGACGAGAACAGCGAAATCTTCCACCTGGCCGGCTCCATGAACGGGAACAGTGACGGCTCCGGCACTTCTATCTCCCAGGCGAGCAGCTGCCAAGCGAGCAGCGGTCCTCCTTTCTTCAATCCCTTCGCGGTCGAGCTCCCTGAAAAGTTGGATTTCAGGGATCCCCACGACTGGAAAAGATGGAGCACCCGCTGGGAAAGATACCGGATCATTTCCGGACTCCATCAACGGGACGCCGCGACACAGGTAAACACATTCCTGTACGCCATGGGGAGAGAAGCGGAAGACGTTCTCACGTCACTCCATCTGTCAGAGGCAGAGCTAAATGACTACGGCGTAGTGAAGAGCAAGTTTGAACTCCACTTCATTCCGCGCGTAAACGTCATCTTTGAAAGAGCGAAATTTAACATGAGGAAGCAAGAACCACACGAGACAGTGGAGGCCTTCATCACGGCCTTACACAGTTTAGTGGACTCCTGCGACTATGGACTACTTCGCAAGGAGCTGATCCGTGATCGCATCGTCGTAGGTCTCCAGGACAGGAAGCTGAGCGAAAAGCTCCAGCTCGACGCCAAGCTCACGCTTCAAAGTGTGACAGCGTCAGCACGTTCTTTCGAGACAGTGAAACGACAGCAAGCGGAGCTTCACAGCGATAAGACGGAGTCCAGGGAAATCGAGGAGCTCCGAAACAAATACCCAAAAGATAACGGCAAGAAAAAAGACACACACGCTCGGGGTACATTTCATCGGCAAGGAGATTCTAACAGTGCGGCGTGGAAATGCCGATGGTGTGGCAGTTTGTGCAAACATGAAAAATCACAATGCGCCGCAAGAGACAAGAAATGCAACGCTTGCAAGAAGGTAGGACACTTTGAGAGCGTATGCATCTCCAAGCTTGCATCAGGGTCTCCCAGGTCACAAGTGCACAAACCAGGTCTCAACGAAGTGTTCCTGGGTGCACTGGTACACGCAGATAACGGAGATCCCCGGTACATCAAGGCGAAAGTCAACAACCAGGAGATCACATTCAAGGTGGACACTGGGGCGGATGTTACCGCCTTTCCTCATACCGAGTACAAGGTCGGAGAGATGGCAAAGCTAAAGCCAGCCGGAGAAGATCTTCGGGGGGCAGGAGACTCGCCGTTGACAACAGTCGGGAAGTTCCAGGCGACGATAACTTGGAACGGCAGAACAACGAGTGAAACTGTCTACGTATCGGAAAGACTCCGACATCCTTTACTCGGTCTCCCGGCGATTCAGGCTCTGCAAGTGCTGCCAAGCCTGAATGAAATCAAGGCTGACAATGATCTGGAGCGTGATCGCGTACTTACCAAGTACCCGTCTCTATTTCAAGGACTGGGGAAGATGAAGGTACTTTATACGATCTCCGTTCACTCAGATGCGAAGCCTTTCGCCATCACGTACCCACGACGAGTGCCCATCGCACTTCTGCCCAGTGTAGAGCTGGAATTGAAAAGAATGCAAGAGATGGACGTCATCGAGAAAGTGGAACATGCCACAGTCTGGTGCTCACCCATGGTGGCGGCCAAGAAGCAAGATGGAGCTCTCCGGATCTGTGTGGACTATACACAGTTAAACCAACAGATTATACGGGAACGAATCATCATGCCGACGGTGGAGGAAAACTTAGCCAAACTCGCAGGAGCGACTGTCTTCAGCAAGCTGGATGCGAATGCAGGATATTGGCCGGCACCACTGGCTCCAGAGTCAAGAGAGCTGACGACATTTATTACACCAGTGAAACGGTTCCAGTTCAAGCTACTCCCGTTCGGGATATTGACAGCGCCAGAATTCTTTCAGCGCGAAATGCTGCGGATCCTCGAAGGAATCCAGGGACAAGTGTGTCACATGGATGACATTTTAATTTTTGGTCGAAACAAGCCTGAACATGACCGAAATCTTGAACTTACGCTCCGCCGCCTTCTTGAAGCGGGAGTGACCTTACACACGAACAAGTGCGAGTTCGGCAAAAGCAGCATCAAGTTTCTAGGACACATAATAGACGCAAGAAGTATTGCGCCTGACCCCAAGAAAACTGAAGCCATTGCCAAGATGGAAGCTCCCGCAAACTTGGTTGAGCTACGGTCATTTCTGGGGATGGTGAACCACCTCGGAAAATTTCTACCGAACATGGCGGAAGAAACCAAGCCGCGCCGAGATCTTCTGAAAGGAGATGCAAGTTGGCTCTAGAGTGAAGCCCAAGAACAAGCATTTCAAAGGATCAAATACTTGTTCGGCAAGACTCCAATCCTCACGTTCTACGACCCAGACGCGCACCGGACACTATCAGCTGACGCTTCATCGTATGAACTGGGAGCGGTGCTACTCCAGGAGGATGAGGACGGCATCAGGCGTCCAGTAGCGTACGCTTCGAGAGCACTGACTCCGACGGAGCAGAAGTACGCGCAAGTCGAAAAAGAAGCATTGGCGATCGTTTGGGCTTGCGAACATTTCCGCACATACTTGGTAGGTCAGGGGTTTCATGTCAAGACGGACCATAAGCCATTGGTACCGTTGTTGTCAACAAAACGTCTAGACGAGATGACGCCAAGATTACAGCAGTTGCGAATGCGCACTTTTGAATACGACTTTACGATATCACACGTCCCGGGAAAGCATATGTACACATCAAATGTGCTGTCCAGGAAACCTCTACGAATGATGGAACACCCGATAGACTCTACGGAAGCGCTAGTCCGAGAGTATGAAATGCTCACGGTCGACCTACTCCCGGCGTCTGTTTCATCTTTGGACAGATTGAGGTCCGACCTAAAGAAAGACCCATGCACGGCAACGGTAATGACGTACTGCAAAAAAGAGTTCCCGGGGAGAGAAACGCTTCAAACGGATATGAAAGGATTTGCTAGCCTTTCTGCAGAGCTGAGCATTACACAAGGCCTACTAATGCGCAATGATAGGCTTGTAATCCCACGGAGCCTCCAAAAAGAAGTACTAGAGCGACTTCACATTAGTCATCAGGGGGTCGTTCGGTGCAGAGCACGAGCAAGAGATTCTGCGTGGTGGCCCGGAATCAGCAAACAGATACAGGACTACGTCAGCCGGTGTAAAACTTGCATTCAGCATCGACGGCCACCCACAGAGCCTCTGCTTCAGACTCCTTTACCCGATCGCCCTTGGCAGGAACTCGGAACAGACATTTTCGAGCTCAGTGGAAAGAAGTACATAGTAGTCAGCGACTACTACTCGAAGTTCATAGAGCTGGAAGAACTTTCACGATCTAACACAGAAGTCATAACAAAAGTGTTCAGCCAGATATTTGCGAGACATGGGTGCCCAGAAGTAATACACTCAGATAATGGCCCTCCGTTTCGATGGAACGACTTTCGGCGGTTTGCAAACAAATGGGGAGTCAAATTGGTGACTTCGAGCCCTTACTACGCTCAAAGTAATGGAGAGGCTGAGCGAGCTGTACAAGCTGCCTAAAATCTTCTGAGCAAATCACCCAATGTAGCACAGGCTCTTCTAGCCCACAGAACAACTCCAGGCTCAGAAGGTCTCTCTCCAGCGGAACTCCTCATGAGGAGGAAGTTACGTTCAACTGTTCCAACAGCGCCAAATACACTGACGCCTCGGTGGCACCACGTACGCAAGTATAGGCGACAGTACGGCAAACGAAAAACAAGAGGAGCCTTGCACTATAATCGACGCCATCGTACAAGAGATCGCAGTACGATACCTCCTCAGTCAGAGGTGTGGATACGCGCGGGCGCATCTTCTCAAGGAGGGATACACCGCCAGACGGAAATGCCGCGGTCATACGTGGTGGAAACAAGTGAAGGCACAGTGAGACGCACAAGCCGTCATCTGCAGCCCGCGTTTTTGGAAGTAGACAACCAGACGGTCGGGCAACAGCAGCCTGCTACTTCGGATGTACACAACCGGACAGTCGGGCAACAAAGCACCGAAACCTCCGCAACTGTAACAAGAAGCGGCAGGGTATCAGGCCCACCAGACCGCTACGGACAATAATGCTTCGAAAGGGTAGGTGTCATATAAAGCGCCTCGCTAGTGTGCCTCAATGTCTTTCTGTTTAAGGTGATGCCATCGTTTGTAGTACCCGATGCGACAGCACGCGCTCACAGAAAAAATACAAAGAAATCGCAGGAAACAAAATGTCGCCGTAGCACAGTCTAGGCCACGAGCGCGGGCAAAGACACGCGCTTCAGAACAACAAATAAAAATAATCGTTCGAAACAAAATGGCGAGATGTCATCACCCCAAGCAAAGCGCACATGAAGGCACCCTACGCCTCGCGGTCTGGGATGCGTGTGGGGAGAAAAGAAGACGAGTGTGTGCAGGAGCGAGGGATAAACCCGACGGTGTTCTAGTCCCTCTTGTCTTGGCTCTTCTTTACATAGCCCTCGGTAACACGACATAGTTGATATCACGTGAGCTGAAATCACGAGGCCTACGGACTAATTCAGTTTCCCCGCTAAATGTAGCGGAAAAATAGAAGTCACGTTACTTATAAAACAATTCAGATTCCCCATTAAAATTCGCAGTAAATTTTAAGTCACACGACCCATACACCAACCAATTCAGTTTCGCTACTACATTTGGTGGCGAGATTGATGTCACGTGACCTCACGTCACGAGACCCATATACATCAATTCAGTTTCTCCACCAAATTTCGTGGGGGAAATTGACGTCACATGACCTTTGTACCAGGTTTGTGCCCTTGTCAAATGGAGCCGGGGGAATCATTAAATATGTCTAAGTTCCTCACTCTCCCGTTACAAGTGTTTAATGACCTCTAATCAAATTTAAACGATCGTCCCCCCCCCCCCCCCCGAAATGTCGCACCGAGCTAAGCTCGTTTATGTGCGCACCTATTGCCCACAGCACCTGGTGTGGGCAACGACAGCAGTGCTCGTAAACAGCGTAAACAAATTGGTGTTGGGAAAAGAACATGTTTAAATTTTATTTATTGGCACTTTCCGAGAACAGTGATGAGCGCGTGCACGAGTATTTAACTGTCCGAGGCACGTCAGAACCCCTAAGGTGCGACTTGTGTTTGGAATTCCTCTACGAAACGCTAACTTTGTCAGAACTTTCTTTTTGAGACGAGGTTTTAAAACAGATGACAAAAATAACGATAAAGTCCCGGGTGCAGGGGAACTAATGGGACAAATGAAAAACACAAATCTCCAAACACAGCTAGGTGGCTGGTGCGCGACTGGAAAAATCCGCCTGGTTCTGGTATCGAAGCAGAGACCTTTCCATTTCCACTAGAGCGCCCTACCAACTGAGCTAACCAGGAGTTAGACGTCAGTAGAGCAAACGTGTTTTTACCAGCTGCCACCAGTCTATCACCAATGAGGGTGAATGACCTGCATTTTAAGATTATGATGATAATTCAATTAATGCAAAACATTACGAAAATAATAAAACAAATTCTTCCAAAGTTTCTTCGTCCGCCGCTAGGTGTCGTATTTGTGTAAAAAAAAAAAGAAGAATAAGGCTCCAATCCACGCTGTGAAGATGGTTGGACAGCGAAGCTGAGGTACCACCTGCAATGACTGGCCACTGCATTACAGACCATTTTTTTTTTGGCAAACGCAGCCAGGTGGTGCTTTAGACTTTGACGTCCCAGAGAACCTCCGGTTTATAAAAAGGATGAACGACGAGTTGCCATAGCAACGAGGCCACCTAAACACCGCTGCTTAAAGTGTAGGTGAAACGTTTAACCACCAATTCACCAGGTTAACACCAAAAGAACGAAGGAGTGCGAGATCTGTTAAAATGTTTCGAGTATTCTTGTAAACCAACTTGCCTCCTCCAAAAAATGTAATATTTTAAGCCAAGGACCCTCGTTGAAACCCCAGCTTTGTTTTTCGTATAGCATTTATGAATTTTAGCACTGGTGACATAAGCAAGCTCAATAGGCTTGCATAGACGTTGCGACCGACTTGGGACGCAAGCGGCAGTTCATATTTGTAAACAGCAAAAGCGTCTATACCAAATAATTGACGAAAGAAAAGTAAATGTACTGTATCAAAACTGTTTTGTATATGAAAGACTTCGTATGGCTGGCGTTGCCGCGCAGCTTATACAACCGCAATCTTGACCAACCGTACGCCCGTCAGAACTTCCTGATGCCGATATGTTTGTTTTCGTACAGCTCCCGCTGGCATGCACGCTCATCTGCCTTCAATCACTCGGCCTGCCGGTAGCAGCCCTACAGCTTCTCCCGTTTCTTGGATCTACAACCGGCAAAACGCAGAGCATATCAACGGCTATCAACTTTCGGAGCGCAACAATCGCTGACTACG